TAAATACATTTACCAAATTCATCTTCAACACAGAAGAAGAGTAGGCATTTGATAGTTCCAATAACATTCACTTGAAGTATGTTGACATCAAACATGAGAAGTTGCACAATTAATCACAATTATTTTTTTCTAGTTCTTGTGCCCTCATGCTTCTTCAATCTTTTATAAAGTAGAAACATCAAATAGCTTAAAATAATAACATATTTACAAACACCCAGTTTTGGCAAAACAAACATTTCAGAGAAAGGAAACAGCTTCATCCATGTTTCTCATCTATTTCTTTTTGTAAAACCAATGATATAGCCTGCCACAAAGTTTTAGGAGGGAAGGCAGGACAAGGAAAGTTTTTATTCCAAGAATGACCTCGACAAATCTGAAGCAAGTCCTCTAGAGCCAGCAGAGTTACTGTATTTTCATACGCATTTGAAAGACTGGGGCTACATCCACTGAAAGAGACACTGAGGAATTCAGGAATCCCAAGCTCGCAACAATGCATCTATTTCATCAATATGTACATCACCGCCTTGCACTGTTACAGAGCAGTTGTGTATTTTCCCAAGACGAGTTCTGTTCTTGCCATTGTTCTGTTTCTGGCAAAACAACTTGTGAAATGCTAAGTTAGCTGTGCTACTAAGAAATTAAAAAAAAACAAAAAACCAAAAAAACAAATTATCATAAAAGGGAGGGGAGAGCGAACAGAATGCTTCCACTTCCACTGTAAGGGCATCTTCCCAATGCAATTTTTTAAAGATCAAATGCTATAGAACACATTTGAAAATTGCATGGAACAAGCTTCACATTGATTTTTATTTTTTTTTAACCACTGTGGCAAGGGAAAATTACATAACAAAAACTTCCTTGTGGGTATCTGAAAACCAGCTGACATCAGAAAATTATCTTCCCTTTGAAAACAAACTATCAACTACATACAAAATTTAACAAGCAGTGTCTCCGTTGTCCCTTAAAGGTCAGTGCACTTTTCCAACACTTTTCCCGTAACACACTTGTATTACCTTATTCAGTCATTTTTTCGCTATATTCCTGTAATTCAGAAGACCATTTAGACTCCCATATGGTTGCCATCAAAACCAGCAGATGCCAAGCAAATTAAAACACAAATTATGACTTGTAATATGCTGATGTATAATAATTGCAGCATCTCTCACAACTTACAGTGAATCATCAGATAAAGCAAAGGTTTCTGACTGAGGCATCAATACATCTTTCCGATTTAGGGTAGGGTCAGTGGAATCAAGTATGGATTGAAATTCAGAGTCAAAGAATAGTATATATCCACAGTTTCCATCAAGTACAATAAAGCACAGAGAACAATTTAACATGGTTCTTGGAACTTAAAGTCAGCTTAAAACTGCCTTGCAAAAGTAGAAGGGAAAATGGTTCTCGCCTTTTAGGAAGCAGGGTGGCCTACTTTCACGTTTTGCATTGTACCTCTGACGTCATTCTACATGGAAATCTAAGGGTAGAGGCAGGGAAGAGACATTGTTTGTTTGCTTTCTTTAACTACAGAAAAATGTTTTGTGTTACCTTATATTATGGCTGCAGCTCTCATCTAAATCAGATTACGTTGTGGTTTACCTAGGCAAAGACATAAAGGCTCATAAAAAAGCACTGTCTATTCCACCAGCCTAGAAAGGTAACAAACATAATGTGGTGCTTTCACACGGGCATTATGCTAGTCAAGTTAAAGCCCAACTGTGTGACCTAACGAACAACCAGCCAAAGAACGGCAGCTGGGCAATGGAAAGGGAAGCATAATATCAAGTTCTAACTTTTGATTTAGATGCATTTGTGCCTATTTGGTCTCAGTTCCTAAATCTTACTTTGGCAAGTGCCAAATGAGCTTTCCTTTTCCACGAGAGCATTGTGATCTCATAAAATAAGTTTTTCTGAACAAGCGCTTCCAACATATTTACAAACTTTAACACTGAATTTCCAAAAAAATTAAGCTTGCAAATATACCTAGAACATCAATTATGCATAGACTCAGCAGATAATATTGTCTTCTACAATAGCATGAAATACACAGACAAGTGCACGTTATCTGGGATGGTGCAAGACTGAGAACTATCTCCCAAAGAGCACGCTGTCACCTTTAGTTACAACTACATACACAGCATTAGGGTGCAACTTTCCCATATTCATTATTCTAATAATTCAGTTGTGTTTTTTAAGGAAAGAAATTACAGAACAGCAAAAAACCACCAAAAAAATCAACAGAAAGGTCTGATAATTTATTTTGCCCCATCTGTGGCATATAAAGCCTCCAATTTTTTGTAGTATCTTCAGTTTAAGCAGCATGAACAATCATTCCCCACATAATTTCAGCAGATCTGTAATACTCCCCTGTTCAAGGCGCTGACAATTTTCTTGTCAAAACCATTACTCTTCCAACTCAGTTCTCTTTATTTTTAGCCCATTGCTTTATGATGCAGAATAAAGAGTATTTTCCCGTTTGTTTACATTAAAATTTCAAAAGGTTGTGTTAAAACCACTACATAATAATGCTCAGGTAGAAGTCTGAACAGAGGTGTTCTACCTATCTCCATGTTTGCAAGATCCCTGGAGTGTCATGGGGTTAATACAATGACGTCTTCAGTATTTCAATCTATTTAGACAACTACATTAGTATCTATCTTTTATTATCACTTTCTGTGAACAGCTAATCAAACTGGGAATTTTCATTTACAGCTTTTCTGGCCCAGTTTCATGACAGACTACTAAAGGGTTTGCTTAATTAATTCAGTAAAAACAACATTAAAATGTATTCTACAAGAGTAACCACCTATGTTTTCACTCCAAATCATGAGAGACATGGTAATAAATGCAGGCTTCCTCATCAAGGGATTACAGTATTCTGAAGAAATGACTAAACTCGTATAAAGCGTTTTGTCTCTATGGATTCCAAGAAGTTTAGCCAAGGACACAAATGAGACGATTAGCATTTTGCAAAAGGGGGAATCTGTAAGCAAGGGCCACACATCAAGCAAATGGCAGAGCAGGCAATGCACTCAGGTCTTCAGATTAGCTTCCAGCAGTATAAAGCCACGTGGCCTAGCAAGATATCCTTAACTCATTCAGTCACAACAGAGGAGCATCTGCCGTCATGCAAAAGCTATGCTGCATCAGCCTCAGCAGCACAGGAATAAGAAAATGACTAGCCACAAAACACCTAAAAGATACCACTTCCCCACCTGCACCATCCACACATTAACTCCAGAGAATAAGATGAAGGAAATTACAGGGTATATAGGCACTCTCAGTCTGTAAGCAGCTGGAAGAGCAAGATATTGTTTACGTATGTTTCACCATAATCTCCCTCTTTTAGTCCAAGGACAGGGCACACAAGCGTTCCTCATGCTCACTCTGTTCCCTGCTGAAAAATAACCTGTGTTATGTGGCAACATATGCCTGGGAATTAAAAAAAAAAAAAAAAAAAAAAAAGGCAAGTGAAAAGATCCATGGCAAACTCAACCACGAAAAACTGAGCAAATAATATAATAAAACCAGCTACTGTATGATCAGAATACTACAAAGCTCACAACCACTCATCTCCCTCCACAGGTCAGGTCTTAGGCCAAGTAAACATTGACATAAAACCACAGCCAACTTCACTCTAGCTGCTTACTTTCTTGATTAAGGAAAGGTATTTCAGTATAAAAGTGTCATTAACCAAAACTGCCATCCTTCCAAAACATCCTCTTCAAGCATCTTTACTTTCCAGGAACACAGATATAAGGTTAGCTATGAATACCTGCTGGCCACGTAGCCACCCTCCATCCTCACCGAAGTGGCAATCACAAGCTCAGTATTGGTTAGAAGGTTTCTCTCCTCTATTCTTCCTCACCTTCATCCATAAAACTTCAAGGCAGTTTTTTTTTTTCCCTCTCCCAATTCACCTTTCTAGTCCAAAAAAGCCACTATACCAGATAGGCGCTCAACTTGCCTTCAAAGCCCCGCAAAAACACATTCACTCTACCTGGTTTTCTGCATGTTTCTCATTGCTAAATGGAGTACCTGATGAAACAAGGGGGACTGTACAGATAAGAGCCTTCACCCAACTTTAACATTCTGGAAGGTGATAACACCTCGTCGTATATGCGCGTGTGAGAATGCTCCCCTCCTCCCTCTGTGGTTACAAGATTTGGTATACACATCCAAACCCAGCTGCTTCTCTTTCAAATCCAACACATGGAGAAGATGCTAGAAATACTATTATGTGCAGGTTACATTTCACTACACAGTTCTGCCTACTCTATAGCCACTGCTAGAATGGTGCAACAAGATCAGGAGATGGAGCAGCACAGCCCGGAATCCCTGCAAGTGCCCAACCAAGCCTTCCATGGGCTCGCACTTGAGGGATGGCTGGGAATACTGTTTCCTCCCTCCTCTATCCTATTATTGCTGCTGCTACTACTATGTGGTAATAGCTAACCATAATAAACCCGTGCCATACACAACCTCGTCATTGTGTAATCATTGCCTTAAACAGCACTGTTCAGAGAATGAAAACTTGAGCTGTGATTTTTTTATTATTATTATTATTATTATTTTTATTTAACGGGGTTATCAGCATGAAAACAGATCAATTTGTTTGTTCACCAGGCCTGGGTGTCTAGCTGCTCCCTCTGCCACCACAAAGCAGACGAGAGGGAAGGAAGGAGGAAAAAAGGGGAAGGGGGAAAAAAAAA